AAGGAAAAGACCAATAATCAATAGAAAAGAATGGGCAAAGGCAAGAGATTCAAATATATAAAAATATTCTCAGCCTCACTCATTTAAGAAAAATGAAAATTAAAACTACATCTGGAAATCAATTTTTTCCTATCAGATTATCAGATTAAAAAAATTGATGAAACGCCGTGTTGGTGAGCGCTGGAAAGTGCTCGCTTGGGTACAGGGCTGATGCGGGGTGTAATGAGCGTGCCTTCCCGGGGGAGGGCAACTGGAGCGTATCCGTCAGAACCACAGGTGTAAATTTCTTTGACACAGCCACTGTTTCTACGCACTTATAAATATCCCTGTAACCCTAGGAAACGGCATATTGTGCAGCTTATTCATTTGGTGGCATTGTTTGTATGAAGGATTGCAATCCCTCTAAATGTTCACTCAGAGAGGATGGACTAAGACAAGACTGTACAGTGGGGTACTAGGTAGCCAAACCAAGATCAAGAAAAGCTTTCTGTATACTGCCATGGAATAGCATAAAAAAGGCATCGATGAGGCCAGCCAGATAGCTCAGCAGATTAAAGCACTTGCTTAGGCAGATGCAGGGGCCAGGGGTTTGATTCCCAGAGTGCCGTGCTGGCCCCGCCCCTGGGACATGCTACGAAGGCAACTGAGACTGGATGTGGTGTCGTGTGCCTGTAATCCCAGCGCTTGGGAGGCTGAAAACAGGAGAATCACTCTGAGTCTGATCTGTGTAGTGAGACCCTGTAGCCCTGTACTAATACTAAATACATAAAAAAAGGCATAGACAGTGTATACCCATCTTTAAAACAGCACTTTCCTCATATAGAGCAGATGTCCAATGCCCACTTCTAAAAAACTGAATGAGTAAACACAGTGAGTGGTGGGGTCCACACGTCGTGCCACCCTCTCTCCACGCTCAAGCTCCCGCCCCTCCAGGCCACTCATGTGCTCAGGATTGCTCACAGCCCGACGGAGAAGCACTGGTGTGGGTCGGGGTGGTGACTCCTGCGGGTGGCTGTCTGGAGCCGCAGGAAGCCCTGGTTGGGGAGGGCAGCGCTGGAGCCCTTCCCCCGACCCATATGCCCTGTGCACACTACATGGGTGGCACCGAGCGTCACTGCCTGCAACATCTGGCTTGTATTTTCCAGGACAGTGAAGCCCTCGCTGGGTTTTGCGGTTTTGGTCTTCTTGGGGTCCTCCTCAATCCTTCTCCCCTCCCTTCCATCACCTTCCCATTCTTAACCCTCGACTCGGCCTCCTTGATACCATCATCTGGGCGTAATGTGTGTCCTCCTCATACATTACTTTTACTCTTTTTGCTCCTCAGGTCTCTGCTGTGAGCCAGGAAGAAGCGCTGTGGTCCTCTGCCCAGCAAATTCTGAGAGGCGCTGAGCCACAGAGGTACAACAGCTGCTTCAGAGTGGTTCTTAAGCCGTGCACACCCTAAGAACTGCCTTTCATTCCTTATCCAGTTGTTCATTCCAACATACATATTTAATGCCTTACCACCTGACCAGCCCTGCTTTGGGTCACATAGTAAAACAGTGGACAAGACAGAGTGTCTATCCCCTAGAGTTGAGACTCTGTAGGGAACATGGACAAGTCAGTGTACAGCACACTTTCTGGTAGGGGTAAGTACTACAAAGGAAGAAAAAGGCAGGCAAGAGCACAGGCAGCAAGGACAGTGTGACACCAGGCCAGGTGCTCCGGGAGGCCTTATTTGAAGAGTAATAAAAAAAAAAATCAATGAGAAAGGCATTTCAGGATGGGGAGATGGCAAATCTGAATACACTGAGTAAGAAGAAGAGCTCAGGCAAGCTGGTCACACTGGGTGTGTTGTATGTCGTGTGGTGTAGGCCATGGTAAAGACTTTGCATATAGTCTACAGAGCCATTGGGATGGGTTGAGTTTATGAAGCTGATATTGTTTCCTATTTTACAGATGACAGACTGACCAGTAAGTAAGGGGCAGACTTGAAGTTGGCATGAACTGACCCCCACAGGACACTGCAGGGCCTCAGCTTTCTTCCAGGGAACCCAGTACTAACATTTTAATAGCTGGCTGGGGGAGGGGAGAGAACCATCCTTCCTTGGTGACCTCCAGAGCCCCGACAAGCCCAGGCATGCGCTCAGGACTCCCACGGTGGCAGGGTGTCTGTGGCTGAGGGCCGTGCCAGCCGGACCCAAGGAGGTGCTGAGGAGGCAAATGGCCTGGCTTCATATCCTGCCCCCTGTTGTTGAATCAATTGAATCACTCAACTGAAAAATTAACTCAGATCTGCAGACATCCCTCCAGCTTGCAGAAGAGCACCAGCAAGTGCATGCTTGGGCTGAGAGGGCTGGGCACATGGTCCTCACCCTGGGGCAGGGCCTGGCACCAGCCCCTCCAGATGGGCCCTAGACCCTCCTTCCAGTGTCTCATTATAGCTTCCTTCCCCTTGATATACATCTACTAGAGCTCTAAGGACAGTCAAGTCTCACTGGGTATACTGAGGGTCACAATGTATGACCAATAGAGGGACTTTTCCCTGAAGGGGCTTGGAGTCCAGAAGGCTGAGAGAGGTGAATCAAGTACTGGAGAAATTTAAGGTCATGTTGGGATAGAGTGTAAACTTCAAGAGGACAGAATTTCTGTGATTTACACACAGAGGCATGCCCAGTGCTTAGAATAGTGCCCAATACATAGTAGGTGCTCAATAAATATGTGTTTAGTGAATGGATACATTCATGGGAGACTGAAACTAGTGTTGAGGTGAGCGTGGAACTAATATGATCCTGAGACACTGGCCTTTTTCGTTCATAATCAGATACCTGGACCCTACATCCAGCCTTCTGGTGTCCAGGTGCAGCTTTGCTGTGATTATTAGAAACCTCCCAGGCTGTGCAGCTGGGGCTGGGAATCAAAGCTCTGGGACACACTGCAACACGCTAAGAGTGTAGAGGGGGCTGCTGCTGCTGCAACATCCGGGATCTCATACAAGTGCTCTGTGCTTGGTGAGTGTGGAGTGTGTAGGGAGGGTCTACTCCTTCCCTTGGCATCCTGGTGTTGAACACAAAGGGAACAGCCTTCTACAGTTGTCCCGCTCCTACTTCTGGCCTTCTAGAGTCTTCCTGGGGATTCATCCCTTCTACAAGGGTCCCTTGATGCTGTTCCCTTCCTGACCTTGCTCCACATTAAAGAGTTGATCAGCCCATCAATTAATTGTGTCCTAATCCAATCTTGGCTTGGTTGGAAAGAGGGCAGTAAATCCAGCTGGGTAATCATGCCCTGATATTTGTGTAGGGATAATTACTATCTCTCAGGCCTCACTTGGTGGCAAGAGGAGATGAAAACCCATAAAACACCACTCGGAGCTGCGGCTCATTGTTTCCTGGCTGCACAGGGTTGGCTGTCAGCCAGCCAGCACCGCCTACTGCTGCCCCTGGCACAGGTCCCAACCTCTTCCCCTTCCATTCATGCAACTGGCAGAGCTCAACACCAAGGGCAGTCTGGGGGCTAAGCTCTGGCTTGGGCTGGTTAGCCAGAAGAGGCAGCATTACAGCCCAGGGAGAGGCAGTGTGTAAGTGCTGGGGATCCTAGGGGGCAGGGGACAGCGTCTCCAGGAACTGGCACTTGTCAGCCCTCAGGAGGTCAGAGGGTCCAGGACAGTGTTTGCATAGGGCCAAACCATGAGGCCTCATCCAGAGCCAACCCAAGAAGCCGCTGCCCTCAGTCAGGGTCCAGCATATGTCCAGCCTGCATCTCTCTGGGGATGCTGTGACCCAGAACTCCTCACCGCCACTGATGGTACAGCCCCACAGGGGTGGGCTTGATTCTAGTAGGCCCTGATTAGGCCTAGAAAATGTAGTGTCGAGGATGGGGAGTCACCTTGATCTGCAGCCCCAAGGAGATAGTCCCCATGTCGTGAAACTCTAAGCATCCCCCACTGAAGGGCACAGGATTAGTGTCTTGATTCAAAGGGTAGATCCAGTCAGGCCCCAATATTTGAATCTTGGGACTCACAAGCTGTAAGGTCTTGGGTGATTTGGGTGACATCTTGATGCCTCAGTTTCCTGACTCCAAAGTAGGACCACTAGCACCTTCCTCACTGAGCTGTTGTGAGATTTACATGGGATTAAGTGCTGAGGTCAGGAGCTGGCACACAGTAGGTGCTCCTTCAGTAGTAGCTGTTACGGCTGTCACTGTTATTTAGCCTTCTAGGCATCTTTTCCTCCCACACTTTGCTCAGCCCAGAGCCTCACTACTCAGAGCATGGCTCCTGGCCCAGCAGCACCGCTTCAGGCCCAGAAGGTGTCTGAAATGTAAGCTCTCGGGCACCCAGACCTGCAGGGCCAGAGTCTGCCTTCGCACCCCCTCCGGACGTGGACACACACGGCCGCTGGAGTAGCTCGGCGAGAAGTGCCCGGAATCAAGGTCTGCCTTCCTGTTTGTTCGTGTCCCCTCCCTGCCATGTGGGCCTCTGCCTGGCGTGCAGTGGGGCACAGGCAAGAAGGTGCGGAAGGAACAGGTGAGCTCAGAAGCCAGCTGTTGGGGTTTAAGGATTTCCAGGCATCTGAGAAAGGCCCCTACAGCAGCATGCAGGGTGAGTCTTGGAATATCTGTTGGCTACAGCAGTGACTCAGGGGGGCAGGGACAGAGGGCGGGATCTGTTGGCTACAGCAGTGACTCAGGGGGGCAGGGACAGAGGGCGGGAGCCAGGGCAGGAGCCGTGGAAAGGGCTAGAGAGCTCAGGGATGGGAACACTGTGCAAACCGAGAGGTGCTGAAGATGCCCCGCCGAGGGAGAGAGCTGGTCTCTTCTGGTCACACTCCTCCACCTCAGCCCAGGTTCCCCCACAGAGAAGATGGGGTCATCCTGGAGCTCTCTGCTGAGCATAGGCAGAGGAAGTGAGGACTGCGCCCAGGCTGGCGGCTGAGATGCACCAGGTCCCGAGGGCCCTCGCCCAGTTGGTTTTGGGAGGAGGAAGGAGGAAGCAGGTAGAGGCCTGAGGCCTCCATGCCTACCGGAGAAGGCATTGTTGGTATTGAGGAAGTAGATCTCCTCACGGCCATCCCCATCAATGTCGCAGGCTGTGACCCCGATGGCGTTGCCCTGCCGGTCCCGCAGTGCGTAGTAGGGTGAGCTGCGCTCATCCACAGCGATGTTCACCAGCCGTTTCTGGGCCCTGTCGTACTTCAGAACCAGGTTGGGGCCATTGTACCTGGAGGAGAATGAGGAGGGGATAAGGGGAGGCATTCCTGGGGAGCCTTACCTCAGGCGTCCCAGGGTGTCTGATGAGTGTGCTTGGATTAGATATGGACCCAGGCAAGGTGAGAGCCCACTGCAGAGGAGTGACCCGCCACTCCCTTACTAAGAGCCTGGCTGAAGAAAACAAGAGCCTCCCAGACATTTACCTTGGACATTTCAATATAAAAGTCATGTTTACATCTAGGACCTTCTTAGTTTAAAACTAACAGCCATTAGTGAGCTTGGCAAGGAGGCTGTGGTATTAACCCATGTGACAGATGAGGTAAGAGATGAGCTTTACCAGAGAAACAGGTTACCTCTGTTTCCCAAGGTAACAGAGAGGTTCAGGATCTGGACCCAGCCCACCCGTTCTGCTTTCCTGATATCCCTGTGTGAGCCCCCAAGGGGCCGAGGTGTGGAACAGCAGGAAGACCCAGCATGTAAGTAGTAACGTGGAGCTAACCCCTGAGTCACATGAAAGTGCAGCTAAGGTTACCGCACAGCCCCGCCGATCTCTTCTTCTAAGGAAGTCGAGGATGAAACTGCTGCTCTTCGCCCACACCAGCACTCGTGGTTCTCTCCTCTGCCTACCTGGAGGTCTTTGCCTCAGGGACTCTGCACTTGCTATTCCCTTTGTCCAAGATGCCGGCTCCCCTTCACCTCCTGCTCAACTGCTCCTCCCCAGGGAGGATTTCCTGCACCACACACCCCAGCCTGCAACCACCACACCGCACTCTTCTTCCTTGCTCATCTCTCCCTCCACCTCCTCCCCACAGCCTCTGCTTGCTCGTCTCCCTTCTCTACATCAGTGCCAAGAGGACAGAACTGTCAGTCCAGTTTGTTCACCAGTACCTTGCCCAGAGAAGTGCTCAACAAATATTTGAGAAAAGACTGAAAGCATAAAGCCTCAGAGCTCCTGAGCCCTGTGGCCACAGATGGTTCACTGCAGACATCTTCCCATCGCCTTTCCACCTGGAGAAGACAAGGGTCTGACAGGAGAACAGGGTGTCCAAGGTCATGCCCCAGGCAGCATGGCCAGGAATGTCTGGAGGCCTCCTGCCTCCTGGGAGCAGCAGCCTTTGAAGTAAAGGAACCCAGCCACCTCCATCCATGCAGTCCTGGAGGCATGCCTGGGCTTTGGGTCGAACGTGCCCATCCTGAGTGAAGTTCAAGCGCCGGCTGAGAACTCCTGGGGAGGTGAAGAGCTCTCCCAGGCCTTGGAGAGAAATCACTCCTTTCTTTCCTGAGACAGAGCCAAGCTGGCCCTCTCCTTTGTCACCAAGATGCAGAAGCCAGTGAAGTCTGGAAGCCATGGGGCAGCTGGCTGGGTGCCTCAGGCACCCATCATGTGTGGAAGGAGAGATGGCGCTTGCTGGGGCTGAGTCAGCGCCAGGTGATGGAAGGCCATGTCTCAGCACCTTGGCGAAGTACGTCTGAGGGCGGCGCACCAAGGGCACCGTGTTACCTTTGCAGACGTGTCTAGGTGCAGGAGACAAAACACTTGGGTTCCAGCGCCGTCAGCAGCTGGCTCCAGCCCTCGGGACAGGACATGCTTAGTGAGTGCTGAACTCCGGGCTTGAAGGCCTTGAGCCCTCTGTTCTTCCACCACTTCCGTGTCTGCCTCATGAGAGGAGTCTCACAGAGCTCTTGGTTTTCTGGAAAGTACTTTCATGCAGTGTCTTCCTTGAGCCCCACACAACCCCAGAAACAAAGTAGGGAAGGTATTTTTCTAGAAAAGGAACTGAGGCGTGGTGAGGTTCAAGGTTACAAGGTCTGTAAGTGGCACCCTGGGGCCTCTGTGTCTACAGGGTCCAAATCCTGGGTTCTTTCCATCTGCCTCTAAGTTCAGCACTCTTAGTCCTTTGCATGGTTTTTTATTTTTCCTGTTAGACTCCCCTAAAGTAGCGACTATGAGAAATTCTGGAGAGCTTTACATATATGGCAGCGATAATCTGGCATTGTGACAATACTCTACAGTTTACAAAGCACTTTCTAATCTTTTTGCTCCTAAAGCTCTTTCTAGCTCTGCCAAAGATTAGGTTGGTGGCCTCAGGCTGGCTTTTGCCCCTCTCTGGACGCTCAGTTTCTCTTCTGTAACATGAGAGAGTTAGGCTGGATGGGAAGGTCACACAATGCAGACAAGTGTGGTGTGGGGGTGTGTCTGGCCTCCACTCTCTGTCAACCAGACCATTTCTTTGTTGATGCACTTTATTCTATGTACCGCATTCCTTGCCCTGCAGAGCAAGGGGTTCCAGAGCTGAGCAGTAGAAGCCTTTGGCTGAGGAGGCTGTGGTCTAAGCTGCGCTGTCTTGCAGGACAGGCAGAGCAAGCAAGCATCCCTCTCACAGCCTCCATGTCATGAAATCCAGCTTCAGTAGCCTTCTTTGCCTCTTGCTTCAACCCCTGGAGCGAACTCCCAGTGGGTGGGGAGTGACCGTAGCCTCCACAGATTTTGAAGACAAGACTGTTTCCCTGAATCTGGGGTGGCTGGGGTACACACAGGCTCCTTGCACCCTTGGTAGTAGCCCCAGGGGAGAGGTGGCCCTTGCTCATTTCTTCTTGGAAGAATAGAGGAGCTAGTTCCAGGGGACACCCCTTGGGGGACCATAGGGAGAGGCTGCTGGAATGGTCAAATCCTTTGTTCTAGTTTGGAGTGAGCATGCACAGAGCCTCTGCAGCCCTCCATGCTGGCATGCACGAAGACTGATGTTTCAGCCTCCTCTCCCCCTGCCCCCACTCTGCTCCCCTAGGGATAACAGACATAAAGCCAGCCCAGCAGATCCTAGGCAGGGTTCTTGACTAGACCCAGGTGAGCCCAGAGGGCAGTGCTCAGAGCCGCCAGTCCTTCCTTCTCACCGGCTGGCCTTAGCTGGTCTGCTGGACCGATGTCCAAAGCCGCGCTCTATCTTCCCTCCACAGAATCAGCCTCATGCCCGCCCTCTTCTCCAGGGAGCTGATGTGCCCATCTGCTCCCTCACTCTCCCGGGAACTGGCTCTGCCCTTTTAGGCTGCACCTGTGTCTCTGCTCAGCTGCTGCACCCCCTCAGTAGGGAGCAGGGGTGTTCTCCCCTCTGTCCCAGCCTCCCACGAAGTGTGCTGCAACTGGGTGTGGCCTTCCTTCCTTTGCATACCCACCGCGTCCACACCTCGCTTGCTCCTGCCAGGGCAGAGGTGTCTGTGCTCCAGCACAAAGCTCTCTCCTCATTAAAGACAGCTTCTGGCTCCCAAGGAGCACGACTGTGTCTGCACGTGCTGTTCCTGGAGCAACACACGCATGGCAGAAGGGGCTCTACAAAGGTCAGAGGCAAGAGTGAGGAAGGGGGAGAGCGGTCCCCATGTGCCAGGCCTTGTGCCCAGCGCTTCATACCCCCAAGCTCACTTGACCCTCGTGGCAATCCCAGGACAGGGGTCCTACTAGGCTGCCACTTTGCCCTCAGTCACTCTGTGGTGTCAGCCCCCACCCAGCGGGCTGGGAGCAGGACGGGAGCTGCACATTTTCCCTGATACCCACCGGAGACTGTCAGGCACTATAGAAATCCAGAAGGCTTTGAAGCACAGTTAAATGGGCCAGGAAGTGGAACAAGGTCCTGTGTTCTTGAAAGGCGGCTTTGGCTTCTGATATCAGAGGATGGGCCAGTGGGGGGACGCGGAGGTGGGGGGCAGCAGTCTAGGGTGGGGGTGGGTCCTGCCCCTGCCGGGCCCTGGCTCCGACCTTAAGCTTGTCACTCAGTTCCTCTCTGAGATTCTCAGTAGCTGGGGGCTGCCACATACCTGACAGGGTAGTTGTGAGGATTAAGTGCAAGAGTGTGTGTGACAACACTTCGTAAACTGTGAAGAATTACACAATTATAACTTCTCATCCTTATTTAAAGAAACACAACAAACCTAAGCCATGACCTCTCACTCTCTAGTGATCATTTTGTTAGCTTCCAAACACGCGGTAGTATTCATCATCCCTAAGTGCCCCACCGCCAGTGGCTCATCCTTTGCAGGTACATTGTTCTCGTTGAAAACCTTTTTTTTTTGGCAGTAATAGGACTTGAACCCAGGAGTGCACTACCACTGAACTATATCCTAGGTTCTGTTCATTTTGTTTTGAGACAGGGTCTTTCTAAGTTGCCTAGGCTGGCCTCACGCTTGCGATCCTCCTACCTCAACCTCCCAAGTAGCTGAGAGTACAGGTGTGTGTCACTGTACATGGCAGATATGTTTCTTTATTCCGCTTTATAACAAGACTTCTCAAAATAGTTGTCTCCCAAGCTGCGTCTGACTCCCCGCCCCGGTTCACCTGCTGCCGCCAGCTCTCACAGCCGCGCTCCTGCTGTCGTCTGTGGCTCTCCTGTGGCCACAGCTAGGAAGCCCGGCACGCCCATCGCCTTTGCCCTCTCTCCTGCACCTGGCCTTGCTTCTGTACTCCACTCCCTCTACGACACTCTCCTGTCTGCACTATTATGGTGCCACCCATTTGGTTTTCTTCTCTCTCCAGAGTCCCCTCTTTTTCTCTATTGCAGGTTTTTCCTCCACTCTCCACCTATTAATGTTGGGGTTCCCCGGCCCGGTCTTGGGTCTTCTCTTTCCCTTTCACTAGCTAATAATATCCACTTCCATGACTGACAACCCCCAAATTTATATCTCCAGCCCAGGCTCAGACTCATATATCTACCTGCCGACCTGACATCTCCCCTCACACGTCCCCCAGCCGTCTCTGATGGAACGCGAACCAAAATGGAGCTATTGATTTCTCTTCCCCTTCCTCCCCCAAATGGGCACTGAGGTACTAAAGCCAGAAGCCCGCATCAGCCTGGGTGCTCCCTCCCCTCGCCTTCACATCGAATTCATCAGGCCATCCTCTAATTTCTACCTCTGAAAATATTTCAGAGCGTTTCTTTCCCTGGACTGCCACCCTCTCTGGGAAGCCTCCCTCTGCTCGGCACTTGCTTCACCTGTATACTCTCCCCACACCATATCCAGGAG